ATAGGCATAATATAACTAAAAATAATTAGAACAGATACGGCTAAGTTTTTCTTGGGCCTAAAACTGTATCAGAATACTTGCAGTACACATAATCTGAAAATCACTGAGTATCTTAAAGACTGAAATGCATACTTTTTGAAAAATGCAGCTATTGTGGCAGGATTTAAAAAAATAGAATATTTCTCATTTTGTTTAAGTAAACCACTGTTGTGATCTTTTTTCATCTTTTATTCTGGAAATAATGGCCTCGGATAGTAAATTTAAATGAAAGTTGATGAAAAGTAAACTGAATTGGTTTGATATAGCCAAACACATTGTATAGAAATCAAACCTTTATCACTGGATACATTCCAAGGAGATTTTTAAAAATTACGTTTCTGAGTTCCAAAGAAATGACAAGCCCTTTTCAGAGATACAGATGTTGTGAAATTCTTAAATGAAAGTGTTATTCTTATTTTTGCCAATAAATGTATTAGCAGTGCTTTGTTCACGTGTTCATTTTTTTTTAATCCGAACATCATCCCTTTCTTCCTAACAGTTCATTTCCATTTACCTACTTTGGGTAGCTTAAAACCAGGGAATTACTGAATCACAAGGAACACAGAGGTTATTTCGTTCAGTGTCCTACAATCCCTTTCATGGCATTTGCTGGCATTGATGAAGGGAACACACAGCATCTGTTACACTTTCTCCAAAGATGAAGAGATTTTATTTATAATCTTGGCTAGTGGGAACACTGATTTTTTGGTTTTGTTTTTTAAAGTACTGGTTTTTCAAGACAGAACATAGGCGTTGAACTTGGAATCCTGAATCTGCTCCTTCTTTACCAGTCCTGTGACTTTGGGCAAGGCACTTAACTTCCCTGACCTTAAATTCTCATTTGTACAACAGAGATCACAGCAGGTGGTTCTAAGGAAAACGTGACGTATATCAAAGTGCCTTGTGGAGAGCAGTTTCTCATCAAATATTACATCCTTCTTGAAAGCCCCTTTTTATACTGCGATGAGACTTACAGTAGGTTTTTCTGTTTCCTTTAGGAGCTAACAAAATTAATCTTATTCATTTGTAATCTATGACTACCTGTCCAGGGCTAGAAGACGACAATAACTTAGGAAAGTTATTTTTTCAAATACTATCATATTTCTTCCCATCACATGCTTTTACTAGTAACTTGGAAAAAAATCAATGGTAATCTTCATCTGAACAATGTATCAAGTCTCTCTGTATAGGGTTGTTCAGTCCAACAAACATTTACTAACAATGTGCCAAAAACTGAGCCAGAGATTAACCTAGAGATACAGAATTTTTCCTTAGAAGTTAATAATCTTTTGAAAACTAGACATATTCTGAATGACTGTGCTACATAGCGATATGCTAAATACTATGTTACATATAAATTGCTATGTGAATAAAACTGAAAAGTCACACAGAACGCATCTGTGGTGGGTTCTCCACAGGAGACAATTTTTAAAAACTGTCTTGGGACCATTCATTCATTCAGTAAATACTTACTAAAGACCTACTATGTGCCAGACATCATATACTAGTTATTGGGAATAAAAAGGTGAAGTGTGGTGGTTGGAAGGTAGGGGAGGAAGGTGGAGAGTGCCTACCCTCATGGAATTTAGAATCTAATTTATGATGTTCTAGTTCCATGTAATAATTTTAGTATACTCAAAGATGGTCATCTTTCCCATTTGATACAAGAATGAATAACCATTTATTTGTGTTACAGTTCCTTGATTTTCTAAGTTGGGTATCTTATAATATACCCACCCTATCTAAAATCCTAGAAACAAAGAAACAAATTTTTTTTTTTTTTGAGACGAAGTCTCGCTGTTACCCAGGCTGGGGGGTGTAGTGGGGTGATCACAACTCACTGCAACCTCCACCTCCTGGGTTCAAGCAATTCTCCCACCTCAGCCTCCCAAGTAGGTGGGATTACAGGTGCGCACCACTGCACTCGGCTAATTTTTCTTTTTTTTTTCTTTTGTAGAGATGACGTTTCACTATGTTGGCCACACTGGTCCTGAACTCCTGACCTCGAATTATGTGCCCATCTTGGCCTCCGAAAGTGCTAGGATTACAAGCGTGAGCCATCGCACCGAGCCCAACATAAAAAAAAACTTTTTAAGAAGAGATTACTTCCCACTCCCCCTACCATGTTGTAAAACTAAGCGGGATGGGTGAGTAATCCTTAGGATTTCAGTTGAGACCAATGGCCAATGTCTGAAGTTATGCTAGAGGCTGCAAGCTGTATTAGAAAAGTTGGAACTAGAAAACTCATTTAAAACTGGGTCAGTGGAGGAAGATGAGGTCAAAAGGGTATACCTGAGAGGCAGTGCTACTGACGGCAAGCCATGTAAGCGAGCTGAAGGGCTTTATCTACTCCTTATACCAAGTACCAGCAAAGTTTGTTATATACAGTGAAGCTTTCACTATACTGAAAAAGCCACTGAAGCTTCACTGTAACTGTGCCAAGGCAGCTTACAAAATGCTAGGCTAAATGAGGAAAATCTTTCCTCTTGACTAGTGATCTTAAAAGGCAACGCCAGGAATAATAGATGCTAAATTAAGTGGGAAAGCTATAACATTTGTAATCTGAACCCTTCAGGACGGTAATTCAACTCGGGGAAGGAGGTGCACTCATGATGGTATTTCTTTTTCTTTGGTGTCCCACTACACCACCCAAAGCACACCTGGAAAGCACAGAGCTGTTTTATGTATGCAAGACTTGTTATTGTATGAAGTTGATAAAATAGCAAATGCTGCATTCCAGCCAAATTAGAACACTTGTGGATGTGGCCATCAGTTATTTGAAGTCTATACTACCACGTGACAGAAAGAGCACCAGCTCTGTGTTGAAATCACAGCTGCAGTAACAGTCAGTGCCTGGAAGAGTGCCAGGCATGAGTGAGTGTGGGAATCAAACAATGAAGGTTGACTTTTTCCTTTAGAGCTCTTAAACCTTTGTCTGGTCTGGAAAGACACAGATAATCTTCTACAGGGCCACTATCCCATTATCCTTGTAGCAGATGGAAAGAGAGTAAATTAATCCTACAGAATACTTCTCAATTCAATTGTTTTAACGCCTTTCCTATCATTTACAAAAATAAAAATAAAAAATAAATAAAAATAAAAAAATCAAGAGTAAAAGCAGCAAACCCAAATGTCTTGAATGTCTCTTGCTTTTGCTTTTCCTCCTTCGGACTTTTACCTTTCAAGAATTTTTTAGTTTTATTAATCTATATAACTTATCTCCAGACTCTAATAATTACAGTATACATGCTGAGACAGACAACATGTGTGTCCGGCTCACATGGTAGAAATCCAATCTTCATTGAATAGAAAGATGAATACATGTAATGGAGGCAACAGTTCTTTCAGAAATAAGTGGATTATGAAGCCCAAAAAGTTAAATATCTTGCCTACCTGATATTGAAATTTATGGTAAAATGGGGTATAGGATCCAGGTTTCCCACACAACCTGACTGGCAATCTCTTCTACATCATCCAACCACATCTGTATTAAATCTAAACCTAAGAGAAATCAATGTAAGCCAAAGTGGAAATGAACAGACACGGGGCCTGCCTGAAAGGAATTTAAGATTTCCTCTCCTTTATAGTCTCTGCTACTTTCAGGAGACTCAGCATTTATGGAAGAGCTGAGGCATAATTATTATTGTCAACTGGTGAGAATATTAGGAAGTAGGAACACTTCTAACTGTAAGGAAATCAAAGAAAAGAGAGAAACCACATCCTTCCTCGACTGAATAACAAACTTGTAAAACTTTTATGGGATTTGTTAAAATATAATTCAGTGAGTTCCCAGTATGCACTCTCTCCCAAGTATAAAGAGATAAAAGCTATTCATTCCTGCCCTTCCAGAGGTTCACGAGCTAGGTGGGAGAGAGAAATGTAAGAACTGTAGTAATGCTCAATAGGTTTGCTATTACCGCCTCTAAATTTCCCTAGCAATGGTTGACCTAAGTCTAGAAGGACACAAGGAGAGAGTCAAATGAAACATGAGAAGACCACTCTAGGCTGAGGAGGCAGTACGAGCAAAGGTCTGGAAGACTAAGATGACACAGAATGTTCAGGGAATTACGAAACCTTAAACATGTCCAAGACAAAGACTTTGATCTTACCAGGGGCCACACAGATGAGGTTGAAGAGGTTGTCTGAGGCCCAGGGGATTACTGCAACCTTCTAGAAACTATGCAAAGAGGCACAGAGCACCTAGCAAGAGATCTCTCCTAAAGTAAAACATGAAAACCTACTGGTTCTTGCATTTTATCATTGTTACTGCTTCCCTTTCATTGACAACAGTTCATATACTCTTACTTTAACAATTTCAATTATTAATATGAATCACCTATCCATTGCTTCTTATTTTCTTCATTTATGGTAAATGAGGACACCAAAGAATTCCGTTCCCCCTCAACTTTTGCGGTTATAATTCTCTCTTATGTTAAGTCAGTCTATGAATTATATCAAAGAATCACTGAATGATAAATGAAAAACCGATTTGCACTAATTGAAAATAGAGAACTTTTGTTTTCTTCACTGAAAAGAATTTCCACTAAGAATCCATACTCAGTAGCGTAGCTTAAAAGGAAACAGTTGAGGGTGAAACCATCTTGGTATACGTAGGCAATTATTTTTTAAATGACTGAAGGATTCAGGAGTGAAATATGGAAGAATGTTACATTAAACTCTTATAAGGGCTTGAAAATACATCTCCTGAACCTTAGTCTTACACCTCCCCATCACCCAAATTCCTCTTCCATACCTTAAACTACTTGATGAAAAAGATCAGGCCATTTTTATATCTCTAGTATTAAGTACTTCTTTAGCACTCAATAAATATTTGCTGAACCAAAGTATAATACTCAAGAACCAAAACAAGGTGAGGGAGGGTACGTGGGTACAATATCCAGTGCTAAGTCTGGATTAAGTCAATCTGATCAACAAGGCTGTTGTCTGACACCTTCACTTACATATTCTCCATAAGTCTCTTGTGTTGGGGGTGGCGGTGGAGGTCTGTACCCAGTTGGGGGGACTCCTCTTGCTCTGGGAGTGAGAAGTCCTCTTCCCCGACTCACTGGCCCTCGGGTGGACAGGACTCCTCTGGGAGTTGGCGTCCCTCGTGGTACTACAACTCCAACTGGCCGTGCTGTAACTCCTCCCCTTCCCCTGTAACCAAGAGGGTCAAATTAGCCATATCTATCATAGTCTCTAACATTCTGTTATTCACATATATTTATACCTCAGAAACAAAATCAAAGTTCTATATTTTTGTAAAAAGGAATAAGGAGCAAATAACTAAAGCAAACATGAAACAGGTATCTACAAAAGGAAATTAAGTCATTTAGGCAGTTCGTCTAGCAACAATAGAAGTCTGGAGTCAATCTCTGGTCAGTACACAGAGTAGGAAACTGTGATATTTGGAGAAGCCACATGAACCCAAAACTTCTATATGATGCCATGCCAGGATTACACCCAAACTCCACTCCCACACTATGAAGTGTGCCTTTTCTTGCTTATATCAGGACAAGGAAACTGAGGCTTAGAGATTTTAAAACTGTCCCAAAACAGCTGTGAGCAAAGTCAGAGGCCAAAATATATGCTACAATTCCATCAGAGAGAGAAGAATAAAATGTACTTTCCTGAATAATGTATCAACTACATGGTAATAAAACAACATTAAGTAAACACAGGCATTTTCTGAGGTAGAATTCAACATATTCATGTATTTCTAATGTAAATCATGAGACTTCAAGTCAGCAACGAAGGAGGTGTTTCTATCAAGAATGGCTCCACAGAAGCAAAAACCCGAGAAAATATAAGGACAGAAAAGTGTGGCTACCCCAGAGAATACAGACACAGTATGATGCACCTCATCTGGACAAGGCCCTCCAGCGAGAACTGTAGCTGGCAGGGCTGGCTGCCTACAGACCAGCTTCCTCCTCCTTCAGTGTGTCTGGGATAGCGAACACACAGTTAAAGACTCATTTTCCAAAAATAGCAAATTATCAAAACCTAAAGCTGGACTTTGAAAAGACTGATAAAATTGATAAACCTCTAGACAGGCTAAATAAGAGAAAAAAAAAAAAAAAAGCCCAAACTCCAGTATCAGAAATGAAGAGGGTTTTGGCCAGGTGTGATGGCTCAGGCCTGTAATCTCAGCACTTTGGGAGGCCAAGGCAGGTAGATCACCTGAGGTCAAGAGTTCAAGACCAGCCTGGTCGACATGGCAAAACCCCATTTCTACTAAAAATACAAAAATTAGCTGGGCACAGTGGCGTGTGCCTATAGTCCCAGCTACTTGGGAGGCTGAGGAACGAGAATCACTTGAACCCAAGAGGCTGAGGTTGCAGTGAACCAGGATCACACCACTGTACTCCAGCCGGGGCGACAGACTCTGTCTCAAAAAAAAAAAAAAAATAATAATAATAATAATGAAGAAATACTATGAACAACTCCAAGCTCACACATTTTTCAACTTACATGAATGTGACTGATTCTGATTCATAATGACCAACACAAAAAGAACTAAATAATCTGAATGGGCTTATGTCTACTAAATAAATTTGATCAATAGTTAATAACCTTCCAAAAAAGAAAGCATCAACTCCATATGGTTTCAATCAATTCTATAAAATATTAAAGAATGAAATGATAACAGTTCTCTATAATCTTGTCCAAAAATAAAAGCAGAGGGAACACTTCCTAACTCAATCTGTGGGGCTGGTCATTGGAAATGCCTCCTTAAAAGTATTTCTACATTACTAGTCAGAGGCTGGGACCAGTCTGGGCCAGCCAGGGAGACCAGAGGTGACTGTCGCCAGCCTGTTCTTGAGCACTGGTTGGGACCTGACAAAGGAAGTATCCCTCAAAAATACTTAATCACCCTCAGAGGCCAGAGATGGGGCCAGCCCAACTGCTCGGTGACCTGCTTAGGATGAGACATATGGTCTGAGGGGGAACAAGAATAAGGCCCCCCCATAAGCAGTATGGATAAAGATAGCCGAAAGTGAAGAACTAGAAATCAGCAGCTCTCGTGCACACAGGTACAAAAATTCTTAAAAATATTAGTAAACTCCATTCTATAATGTATTAAAAGAATTATACACCATAACCAAGTAGGATTTATTCCAGGTACATAAGGTTGATTTAATATTAGAAAATCAATGTAGTCTACCACATCAACAAGGCTAAAGTAGAAAAATAATGTGATCATATAAACAGAGCAGAAAAAGGATGCAGCCAAAGGCGACACTCATTTATAACAACTTTCAGAAAATTTCCTCAAGTTGAAAAAGAACATCGGGCAGGAGTGGTGGCTCACACCTGTAATCCTAGCACTTTGTGAGGCCAAGGTGGGTGGATCACTTGAGATCAGGAGTTCCATACCAGCATGACCAACATGGTGAAACCCCGTCTCTACTGAAAAAAGAAAAAAATTAGCCAGGCATGGTGGCATATGCCTGTAATCCCAGTGACTAAGGCTGAGGCATGAGAATTACTCGAACCTGGGAGGCAGAGGTTGCAGTGAGCCTAGATGGCGACACCTAGATGCACTCCAGCCTGGGTGATAGAGTGAGGCTGTCTCAAGAGAAAATGGAACATGTACAGCAAACCTACAACACACTGAATTGTGAGAAACTGAATGTGTTTCCCCTTAAGATTGGGAACAAGGCAAGGATGTCTACTCTCACAACTACTATTCAACACTATACTATAAGTCCCACCTACATCAATAGGACAAGAAAAGTAAATAAAATTTACACAGATTTTGAAGAAAAAAGTAAAACTTCCTTTGTTCACAGGTGACATCATTGACTACATAAAAAAGTCCCCCCCAATAGTCCAAAAAACCCCCCAAACCCCACACCTACTCCTATACTTAATAAGCTAGTAAAAAAAGGAATAAAAGGTTACTAGTCAAATGCTTTCCTACATACCAGCAATAAACAGCTGGAATTTAGATTAAGAACACAAAAACATTTACTGAAGCCACAAAAAAATTGCATGTTTTGGTACAAATTTAATAAAATATGTACAGCATTCCTTTGTAGAAAACTACAAAACTCTGATGGAAGAACTCAAAGGAGTAACATCCATGTTCATGGTCATAATATTGTTAAGATGCCAGTTCTTCCCAACTAATCTACAGATTCAATGCAATCCTAATCAAAATCTCAGCAAGTGATATATTTTTAGATATTGACAAACATTTTCTAAAGTACACATGGAAGGGCAAAAGACTCAGAACAGACAACATAATACTGAGAAGAAAAACAATGTTAAAAGACTCATAATATATAATTTCAAGACTTATTATAAAGCTACAATCAATACAGCATTGTATTTGCTAAAGAAAAGACACAGCTCAATGGAACAAAATACAAAGCCCAGAAACTGACCCTCAGAAATATAGTCAACTGATTACTGACAAAGGAGCAAAGACAATTCAATGGAAAATGTTTTTTTCAACAAATGGTACAGGAACAAGTGAATATCAACAAACTAAAAAAAAAAAAGTAGACACCTAGACACAGACCTTGCATCTTTCACAAAAATCAACTCAAAATGTATCTTAAAACCAAATATGAAATATAAAACTTACAGAAGAAAGCATAGAAGAAAATCTGTATTATATTAGTTTGGTGAAGAGTTTTTAGATACAATATCAAAAAAAGTCCTTGAAAGAAAAATTGGTAAGTTCAACTTTATTAAAATTATAGACTTCTGCTTTGTGTAGGACACTATTAAAAGATAAAGAGACAAGCCACAGAAAGGAAGAAAATATTTGGGAAACATGTTAGCTGATAAAGGATTTGTATTCAAAACACAGAAAAAACTTTTATAACTCAACAATGAGAAAGCAAATGGCCCACTTAAAAAGCAGGCAAAACAGTTGAACAGACAGCTAACCAAAGAAGATTTACAGATGGCAGATAACCAAATAAAGATGTTCAATATCATTTGTCACTAGGGAATTCAAACTAAAACAAAAGTGAGATACCACTTCGCACCTATTAAAATGACTAAAATAAATAACTGAATATGTCAAGTGTTGGTGAGGATATGAAAAACATAAACTTTCATTCCTGCCTGGAATGCAACATAGTATATAGCCACTTAGAAAGACAGTTTGGCGATTTCTTGCAAAGCTAAACATAGCCTTATTGTGCAATCTAGCAGTTGTATTCCTAGGTTTTTACCCAATGGATCTGAAAACTTATGCCTACATAAAAACTTGCACATAAATGTTTATAGCAGCTTTATTCACAGCAACCAAGATGCCCTTCGATAGATGAAAAGATAAGCAAACTGGGTTACATGCATACAATAGAAAATGATTCAGCAGTAGAAAGAAATGAGCTAAAAATCCACAAAAACTAGGAATAAATCTTAAATGCACATTTCTAAGTGAAAGAAGCCACTCTGGAAAGGCTATATAATGTATGCTTTTCAACTATATGACATACTGAAAATACTAAAACTAGAGAGATGGTTAAAAAAAAAATCAGTAGTTAACACAGGTTAAGGGGTGGAGGGAAGGTTGAATGACTATAGCTCAGGGTGATAAAACTATTCTGTATGGTACCAAAATGACAGTGAATACGTGACACAAAGCATTTGTCAAAACCCAAAGAACTTCACAGCACAGAGAGTGAATTTTCATGTTTGCACACTAAAAACCACAATATTACTGAGGAAGTAGGAGACTCTCAGGATGCAATGCTGAATGTGAACGAACATTTTAACTAGATTAAAGCACATGAAAACAACCTTATTGAAGGGGCTGAAGAAAAGTAAACTTTGAAATGAGATAAGTCTGTCAGACTAAAGGCAAAAAAAAAAAAAAGTAAATAAGCAATGTTCTAGTTGATGAAGTTATTTTCTACAGGAAGAAGTGTGAGTACAGGTTAACCATTCTGATATCACTGTACATGTATCCTGGAACACAATAAATAAAAGAATGGTGGGAGCCAGTTTCTCAAGTTGGAGTGGAGTGGTAAGAAAAGGGAAGAGGCTATAATGGTCAATGTGCGAACAGATTAAAATCAGAGACATCAGTATGAACTCATGTTTAGTTTACTATATTTACAGATGGTTAAAGAAATATGCATAAATATGGGTATATACATAGGTTAGTACATACACATATATGTCCATTCTATGTC